TCCTTTGTGCAAAGTGCTACAATCGCGCGCAGAGGGGTGGGGTTGCAAAGAGGACGATTAGCCCAGGCGGAAAAATGTGTTTGCTGAAAAATGCCCCCTCGGCTTATACGCGAGTCACCATTTTTTCCCAGTTCTTTGTGGCAAAATAGGTCCCTCGGCTTATAGTCGGGTCGACCTATACTCGAGTATATACGGTATTAATTCCATTAGTTCGATTCTCAGTTCTCATAAGTCATGGGTCCCCAACCCCCGGATCGCGGCCCACTATTGGGCTGTGAGTCTTCGCAACTAGGCTGCAGAAATGGTGGGTGAGTGCATGGTGCCATTTGCAGAGGTGGCGGATGCACATGCTTGTCACTTGCACAAATGGAGCTGCACGTACTTGGTGGCGGCTCATGCAGAATCACACAGCACACACCCTCCACTCTTTCCAGAAAGCCAGAAAGGTTGGGGAATTCGGCCATATGTACAACTCTGCTCATAGGATGTTCTCAACGTTGCATTTTTTTTCTTTCTCCTATACTTCCCCTTGAAAAGCTCTTTTAGAAGACTGGTGGATCTTCCAGAATAGTGGAGATTGTTGTTGGGAGCTAAATGAGGAAGTTGAAATTTGTATTCAGTTTGTCTCTTTTTAGAGAACAGATCATGATGATGATGATGATGATGTGGAAATTAACATAAGGACTGAATGCTGAGTATTCTACACATAGAAGGAATGAAAAGCAAGGAGGCTGGAGTCATTCCTTTTTTTTTCTGTCTGAGATAGAACACCAGCCTCGAATAACTTGTGCATCCTGCCTTGTGTATGTGGAGATGAAACAGTACACTCACATAGTAGTGGATTCTCTGATTTTTGCTGTGTTGTGGAATGTTATATGGATCTGTATGTGTGCTACAGCTGCTGCTCTTGTGCGATAATCTCAGCCAAATTTATGGTTGCACATTCCTAACTATAACAGAGTTATTTTATAGCATCTTATTGATTGCAAATTATAATTGCAATTTACAGTGAAAATTCATCTTAATAATCATATATAGTTTATTTTGATAAAGCTGTTGATCTGAAATATATAATTCCAAATAAGTCAATGTGAAAAATATTTGGTGCTGGAACATCACTTTAAGATCTGGAGGAAAAATTGTTCTGTTAATTCTGTAAGTAAGGGTCTGCCACAAAGAAGAGGGAGTCAGGCTATTCTCCAAAGCACCTGAAGGCAGGACAAGAAGCAACGGATGGAAACTAATCAAGGAGAGAAGCAACCTAGAACTAAGGAGAAACTTCCTGACAGTTAGAACAATTAACCAGTGGAACAACCTGCCTCCAGAAGCGGTGAATGCTCCAACACTGGAAATTTTTAAGAAGAAACTGGACAGCCATTTGTCCGAAATGGTGTAGGGTTTCCTGCCTGAGCAGGGGGTTGGACTCGATGACCTCCAAGGTCCTTTCCAACTTTATTATTATTATTATTATTATTATTATTATTATTATTATTATTATTATTATTATTATTATTATTATTATTATTATTATTATTATTATTTATTTATTTATTATTTATTTATTATTTATTTATTATTTATTATTTATTATTTATTATTTATTATTTATTATTTATTATTATTTATTATTATTATCATTATTATTATTATGGCTTTGAATAGCCCTTTCTTTGTCTTCTCTCTGGGTAGGAAAGATACTTTTATTCTAACAAGTTATTATCCCATTAGTGCCTTTTTAAAAATTATTTTGCTGTTCGTTATTATAGGCAAATAATTATCTTAATTGTTGTAACCTGTCTTAAATGGCTTGAATTGGGGGAGGTTGGCCCATACCTTTTTTTTTTTAATAAAAAAAAAAGAGGAAAGAATGCACCCTTTTGAAAATGAAAAGTTCAGCCAATGCAGCAGAAAGCCATGAAAAGAAAAAATGTGAAGTTTGTCCTGAAGGTCAGTAAACTAGGATTGCAGCATAAGTATATAAGCAGGTGAACCATGTAAAGTTCATTTTTTTAAATCTAACATATATTTTTATTGCATTGCAGCATTGGAAGATATTTATTTTCAAATAAAGGACACGTTGGGACCAAATTACTGGAGACCACTTATGAGGAAATGTGGCTTTTTAGACAATGACATAGATAACATTATCCTTGATAATGCTCAAAATGTTGATGAGCAGCATTATCAGCTGTTAAAAACTTTGCGAGACAGGAATGGAGTTGTTGCTGCTTTTCAGAAAATATTTGCAGGCCTGGAGGAAATGAACCTTTATGGTATTTATGAAAATCTAATAAATGAACTAAAAAGCAAAGATTTAATAATAATGGAGGCTGAAGACTAATTTAGTTTTTCTTTATTTTTGACTACACAAAAACTGGTCAGAGAATAGTCTGGCTTTTTATGCATCAATTTATTTTAGTGCATGTTGCCTTGGCTGAGGATGTCTAAACTGACAACACAGTTGTTAAAAGAAATATGGATCCCACTTGGGAAATGAAATGTTGCATCTCTCTGCGGGTAAATTTTGCAATATACAAAATTTACAATGAATAAGGCAACAAGTTGGTCAGTGTTTGGAAATTGTGGTTCTGTACTGTCCTCTATAAAAATGCTATTGTGACCAAAATTCAGTGTAATTTATATTACGTGAATTGCTAACATATAGCAGGCTGAAAATGGACATAATAGTTTTCTACGGAGTCAGAATCATGTGACTTGTTGGACAAGGAGAATTTGAGTATGTAAAACTTCCTTCCTAAAATATAACCCAATGGAATCCGGCTGGAACTTTGTGTGTATTTGCTTCCATATTATGAAATGATTGATGGATTGTAATACTTCATTTGTGATCTTATATACTACGGAGTCAGAGTCATGTGACTTGTTGGACAAGGAGAATTTGAGTATGTAAAACTTCCATCCTAAAATATAACCCAGTGGAATCCAGCTGGAACTTTGTATTTGCTTCCATATCATGAAATGATTGATGGATTGTAATACTTCATTTGTGATCTTATATACAAAGAAATACTGAATGTGTGCAATGTCTCTGACTTTTTTTATCTTTTGTACATATTTTCTAATAAAAAATGAAGTTCTGATTCCTTTATTATGTATGTAAATGGGAAACTGAGCGAGGGAATGAAATGAAAATGGAGCAGAGCAAGGAATAATTTTGAATAGTTTGGATAGCACTTGTACATTTCCAAGAATTCCACATAGTTTGGCTAAGAATACATATGTGAAGCTAGAGTTTGTTGAATAAACTGTAGTGATCTGTAGTCACCATCATTGGCTTCCTACCTTATGCTAGTGCGAAAACAAACCAGATTATTGCTTAGTGTAAAGCATGTCACCTATTAAATGTATTACTAGGACACAATTTCATTATTATACACTAAGCACCATACATTTTTTAAGAGTTTTTATAATTACTCTTAATTTTGGAAGAAAATTATACCAGTTACAAAAAAAAAGCATACGAAAAGTTTTAGAATATTATGCCATATATGGGATAATATTTGGGATTGTATCGTTACACTTAACAGATGTTCTGCCATCAGAATAAATTATGATGTCTACTAATACTCCGCATACGCTTGAAAACTATCCTGAATGCTTGGGAGGAAACCCCCTGAATCTCAGAACTGAGAGGTGATAGAAAAAAATCAACCTTGCCCTGAATACAGGTCTTGACTTACAACAGTTCATTTAATGACCATTTGAAGACACAATGGCACTGAAAAAAGTGATTTATGGCTTTTTCATTCACAGCATCCCCTTGGTCACGTGATGAAAATTCAGACGCTTGGTAACTGACTCATATTTATGACGGCTACAGTGATCTGGAGTCGTGATCCCCTTTTGGGACCTTTCAATTAGCAAAATCAATAGGGAAGCCAGATTCACTTAGCAACCTTGTTACTAACTTAACAATTGTAGTGATTCACTTAACAACTGGCAAGAAAGGTTGTGAAATGGGGAAAAATCATTTAACAATGGGCTTGCTTAGCAACAGAATTTTTGGGCTTGCTTACTGTATGCTTACTTAAAGCTACCTACTGGACCTCTGAATGTAAGAATTTAAATTATTAACTGGTCCTAGAGCTAACTTGTTCCGATTTATTATTTTGGAACACAACCAAACAATGGATATTTTTCTCACTTTGAAAAAATAATTTAAGGAGACATCATGGCATAGTTCACAAACAAAGTAAGCAATGTTGTTCTATAAGAGAAAAGATTCAGTCTCTTGTTAGATAATATCTCCATTAGAAGTAATTAGCGGCAAAAACCTACACTAATTTTGCAATGTCGTCTGTATTGTAATAAGATTGATAACCGTTGTGTTTGACTCCATTGAAGAGCCACAGGTGAGTTTCAGGAAAAATTGTGTGACTGGAAATAAACAGTTTGGGACATTATTTCTTTACATGGTGACCGCTGCGAGGATTGTATATCCTAAACGTTGGAGAGTGGATTTTAAAATTGACTGAATTAGCAGAGAGGGCAAAATGAACTGCCCCGATTAGAGACAATACATAAGTTTATGAGACTGGAAACCTGCTTGTGGATTTTCTACCTGTTAAATAGAAAAGATAAGCAACGAATCAGCGAACACCTAGAGGCAAACAAAGTCATTACCAAAAGCCAACATGGATTTGTCAAAAACGGATCAAGCCAGACAAATCTTATTGCATTCTTTGACCATGTGACAAAATTAGCAGACCAGAGGAATGCTGTGGATATAATTTACTTGGACTTCAGTAAGGCATTTGATAAAGTAGACCACAACCTACTGCTTGATAAGATAGAAAAATGTGGGTTAGATAACTGGCTGACCGGCCGTACTCAGCATGTGGTCCTCAATGGAACTGCATCTACATGGAGGGAAGTGTGTAGCAGGGTGCCACAGGGCTCTGTGCTCTTCAACATCTTCATCAATGATTTGGATGAGGGGAGAGATGGGGAACTCATCAAATTTGCAGACGACACCAAGCTGGCAGGAATAGCCAACACTCCAGAAGACAGGCTTAAGATACAGAAGGATCTTGACAGACTTGAACATTGGGCGCTATCTAACAAAATGAAATTCAATGGTGAAAAAAGTAAGGTTCTACATTTAGGCAAGAAAAATCAAATGCACAGGTATAGTATAGGACAGGTAGTATCTTCCTCAATAGTAGCAACTGTGAATACAAAGGTGAATGACCAATATTAAAAAAGAAATACTGAGATGTTTGATCATATAGATCATAAAGGGGATGAAGAAAGTTGAGATTGGATGGAGATGATGAAAACCTGAAAAAAGAGCTGAGAAGGCAGTAAGGATGGTTTCTAAGGATAGGACAAATACAATAAATGGTGCTGCAATAGATTAGTCTTAACATTCTTTCACTTATCTCACACCTTCAATTTTTCTGGCTTAATATTTCTCGCTCTTTTCTTACTCAGCCTAACAAAATGAAAGTGTGGTACACAATAGTATGGATTTCAAAAGGCAGGAGAAAAAACAACATGGAGTTCCAAGTTTAGCAAAACCAATGTGATAAAACTAATTACAGCCTTAAATGGGTTTGATTCTACCAGGAAACACATGGAAACAAACTAGCCAGCCACGTTCTAGACTAGTGTGTTATGTAAACACAGCTTATGGTTCAGTGCATCATACAAACCTATAATACTGGGTTAATTAATGTTTTTTAGAAATGTTTATGCCACCAATTTTATTCTGGGTCACAATTATATTAAGAAGGGATAAATGTGTTGAGCAAACACAGAATTAATATTTTGTAGGTTTCAGATTATAGCTTAATAACAAACCTGTGGGCTAGGTAAGCAGAGGTGCTATTTTAATCTTTGCTGTGGTTGAGAAGCTCCCTATAAAATGTAGCTGAATCCCAACAATTCCCATTACAGTCAGAACAACATGCCAGGTAAGCTTAAACTTGTAATAAATTGCAAATGTAAAAATTATGTGGAAGAAAATTTAAAGCATTACACAGAAAAGCATAAAATAATAAACGAATTATTTATGCCTAAAAGCAGGTTTCTTTTCCCATGTTTTGGGCTACAGTACTTGTGGCCCCAGTTGGTGTACGTATGTATTATTGATTAGATTTTCTATCTATTTATCCTGTAAATTATTTTTATATTGCTTGTATTGTGAGATGCCAAGAGACAGAACGAAGTTGGATAATGGTTCAGTCAAAAAATAGTAAATACTGATAAAAATAAATCCAGGCTGTCTTTATTTATAAAACTATGCTAAATTAAGATACATGATCATAAAAACTTCTTTAAGAAAAGGAAAATCTATTGATTGGAAAATAGCTTTATCTTTGGGGGGAAACCTGCAGACTTGATTTGCTCAGATACAAGGCATCTGAACTAATTTTAATAATATTATAAATCACCATTAGCCAATTGCAAAAGGCAGCTTTACCCCAAACAGTTTATATTCTGTGATGATACTTTTATTATCAACAGCATCAAACAATATCTGCCTATCCCTGGTCCTTGGGAAGGATTGGATAGGTGGATAAAAATATCAAATCCTCTAAACATATGGCTGACTGTGACCAACTATAATAATGAAAGCAAGGTAATACCAGTAGCAATAGGCGCTATGGATGCAGTTCAAACACATCCGGTTCTCCACTTGACAAAATCAGCATTGACAAAATCACCACCAATTACTAAAGGCAGCCTTGCCTGTAATATTATTAAACATCTGCTTATCCCAGTCTTTTGGAAGGACTTGGATGAGAAAAAAAAAACATCTGGCTGACCTAATCATAACAACTAAAGTTTAAAAACTAAATGAAGAGCACAAAGAAGTATCAATGGAGTTGGAATACTCCAAAATACAAAGCAAACGTCTTTTAAAATCTAGGTTGCTCTAACTCTAAAGGAATAGTAGAATACTAAACAATTAGCCAATAAAAAGAATAGATGAACGAGATCCTGTAAAATCGAACAAGTAAGCCAATTTGCGCCTATAATGCTGGATCGGTTTCTTTCAGCTTATGTCCTCGAAAATCTCCTGGCTCGCAACAAGTGTCACATATGCCTATTTTGTGCCGATGCACGGGTGTTATGTTGTTGTTGTTGTTGTTGTTGTCCACCTCTGCGCATATTATTGAAATTGCACAGCACTTGGTCCTGCCTTTTCAAGACTGCATTGACCGCACATTGCCAGGTTACCCTGCGCCCACCAGAAGTGACGATCGGAGGTGGAGCTATGCTTCCGGAAACGGTCTTGGTTGCATCAGCTTGTCAGGCAGAGCTGCGTCTGACAAGAGACGAAGGGGGGAGAATGGCAGCAGCCGGTAAGCTCCAGCGTTTGGGTTCCCCTTTCTAATATAAAACAGGGCTGGGAATAAAGAAACGTCCGTGAATTCCATTGCAAGGCCTTTATGGCGTTGTGATGCCATAAAGATTAAAGCCTGGCTGAGAGCGCTGCTTGATCGCCCGGCTCAGGTGCTTTGGCGCTACAGTTTGTGATACCGCATCGTTAGAAGAATGTGGTCTGCTGGTAGTATATGCTGGGATCGGACAGCGAGTAGGGATTACGTCTATTGATTTCAGAGACGAAACTTAATCGATAGGCTCTGCGTTATTCTAACTCAGATGTCTTAAAGGTCGCTTTTTCCTTCATGTGCCCCCCCTCCTCCCAAAAGTGAATTTATAAGGTTGAAGGATGTAGTGGATTGCCATTGCAGAACAGCAATTGTGCTGCCGCTGGTTTTAAGCAAGATTTTTTTTTTTCGGGATCTCTTTTGTTTTCGTTTTCATTTTCTTCGCCGTGAAGTCGTAGTAAACGCATAAAAATCCTCCCGCTGAGCAAATCGAAAGTC